CCACACCCATGGGAGAAATAGGACCTCCGGTTGAAGTCAGGCAGCTTTCGACAGAGCAGTTGCCAATACGAGCTGGCATGTTGGAAGCATTTTTGCTCTCCAAAGCTGCAGCAAGTTCAGACAAGGATGGCAATTTTGTGGTTTCAAGTGGTATCATCCCTTGACAATCATTGGAGACCTTGATGGCCAGCTCAGAAAGTTCTTCCCCAGCAGCTTCAAGACCGGAAAATGCCACAGCCTGATCATTCAGAGCCTTACATGCTTTCTCAAGTATTGACTGTAGGTATTTGCCTTGTGCTTCAATCCGGAGTTGAAGATGACGCTGTACCTGCATAGAGTAAAACCACGTAAGCATCCTTCTGCAAAATCATAAACTAAAAATTTTGTTTAAGTATAGCCAGAAACATATAAGAAAACCAAGTGCACAATAAAATAAGTTTTCAAAAAGAAAGACAAACTTCTGATCATGTCAACTTCAAGGTAATGCAACCTCAATGGTCATCAGGAAGACAGGAACCTCAGAAAAAGAAGAAGCACATAAAGTTCACTCATTGTATAGATATTTGTGTTCACAATACTTGTGTCTGTGATCAAATGTGAAAGCTCTGGAGGTGGTTAGAGTGAAGGAAAAGCACATAAGCAACTATAGGTAGACATGGCCAGAACTATTGGAACCAACCTCTAACTGTTCATGCAGTCTGCGCTGCACTTCCATTTGTACTCGTAGAGCCTCAGTCACCTGGTAGCCACTGTTTAGAAGATAATTTCAGCAGTCATATAAGGTAAGGATAACTAGTAAACTTTAGCAAATATTGAAAGGAATAACATACTCATTTAGATCTTGTGCAACCATTCTTGATGATGTGGTAGATGAACCAGTATCCTGACTTTCTGCAACACAGGAAGCTGCAACGCCAACTACAGATCATTACTGGTCAATGACTCATAAGAATTTTAAGATATGAGATGAACTAAAGTGCCAGATAAACCAAAAGGTTAAATTAACAACCAGAAGAAAAAAGATAAAACAGTGTAGCCATCTTCTAAAACCCCAAAAGCCCAGGATTACAAACCCCAAGATGTGTAGTTTCTCTTCATCAGTGCACTGATAGAATGTTCAAAAAATAAGAGGAAGGAGCAACCAATAACCAGGCTAATGCGGGAAGAAACCTTCCTTTGATGTGGCCCTCAAGGAGCAAAAAATTAATAATAATAAATAAAACGAAAAAGATGAAAGAAGTTCTCTCATTCATATTAGGATGCACTCAATGCAGTAGTTTTGTGAAGGGGTAAGGATAGGTACCATCCTTAGAGTTATCAGCTGATTCCTTGCATGCTTGCTTCCCCAATCGGTATTTCTGTGAATAAAGAGCATGAAGTAAAGGAATAAGAATTAGAATCTGCAAATACACTAAGAATTAAATTTTCCATTAGCTTAGTTGGTTATGATATCTGGTAGTGGACAGAGAAGATAAGAAAACACACACAAATCAAATCACGGGAGACCACATCAGACTATCAAAATCCAACTTTGACAAACACAAGACGGTACTGAATACATAACATGTGCAGTCAGAAACTATTCATCTTTTGGCTGGCCAAAACAAGGGGAGAGTATGCCTCCAATTTAACTAGGTATGCTAAAGTTCTATATCATGATCATTTCAAGAGATGGTAGCAACAACAAACCTGCAAATGAGACTTCAAGTGATAAAGTGTAAGCCCTTTAACTCCCATTGTTCTCATAATAGTCTTCGGTGTCGCTTCTGCAATGAATATGAAACAGAATAAGAATGTGGCCATCAAGATTAAACTAAATGAATGATAGCATATGGGACATAGTGGGTGAATATACAAAAGTCGTTGTAAATTCGTAATTGGCATCAATCTGAAACTCAGAATTAAAAGCAAATACAATGAGCCTAGACAAGTGACAATAATGAATCCTAATCATAACAATAACCTAAAGGGTCCAAAACAATAATTTATTTCTTTGGTTGTACTT